GACTAGAGCAACTTCTGATTATTCAGACGCCTCACATGGTTCAAACTTGTTGTTGACTCGCCGCTCCACAGTACTTGACCTTTACAGCCAAACATCCCACCGGCAATCGTATGCGCTACCTAGCATTCAATCGATTAATGTTTCAGTTATTATGATTGCCCTTGTTGATAGCATTGGATTATCCAAAACCGATGCCAATGGCATAATAATAATTCACAATTTGAAAAGTTACGCAGTTTCTTTGCGAGATGGGAAACCAGGGATAGCATATGGGGAGTCTCAATTAATCTCCCAAAAGTTCCGTAAAAATTCTCTCAAGGTTACCTAAAAGTTCCCTAAAAGTTCCCTAAAAGTTCCCTAAAAGTTCCCTTTTTTTCCCCGGGATTTCCAGGATATCCCCGTCTGAAAACAGTTTTCAGTTTTACCGCGTCATCACTAATTAGCGCGTGTTTCACAACCTATAGTCGGGTTTGGCAGTTTCAGTTTCGCTAAATGCCCGAATTTGCCACACTGTCCAGAGAATTTTGATTTTTCGCGATCATCTACATGACCCCTCGACACTGTCCTTCATTCGTCCGTTTTAGGGGGATTGTGTTGTTTTTATTTTAGGGGGAACACTTTTACAAGCTCTAGGGGGACGGTGTAATCGAAGATTACCCGGCGCCGCCTCCACTCCTGGGCTTGAATCGCATGATGTAGTCTTTGTCTGTAGGGATCGCGCACGTATGCTACCATGAAAAAACTGTGGCAAAAGCCTGATGCTACATACGAGAAGCAAGTAGGTTTGGCACAGTAGCAAGGTACTAAGATAGTGACTGGTTTGCACAAGGTCGAATCATAGGATTCGAAAGGGACAATCGATAGGATTGACAGGCAAACCCGGACCAAATGGGGTACCGAGCTATGGTGCAAATGAGAGAGAGGGTGGTGAGGGCGGGAAAAAGCAAAAAAGCTGACGGTCTTGACCGAGCAGCTAAGCTCCTTCTATCGTCTCCATCATCCCACAAGCTCCCATTGCGAACAATTTCTTCTCCAAATCTTCCGCCCTCTTCGTCGACACTCTTCACTCCGTCCGCCAACGGTGTACTTCACTGAAGCGACGCGCCGCAATCGACATGACGGAGATTGAGACTAAGGAAGATCTAGAAACGCCCATACGTCTCCCGTCTTGCCGATCAATAATCGTTGAATTGCATGATGTAGTCTTTGTCTGTAGGGATCGCGCACGTATGCTACCATGAAAAAACTGTGGCAAAAGCCTGATGCTACATACGAGAAGCGAGTAGGTTTGGCACAGTAGCGAGGTACTAAGTTAGTGACTGGTTTGCACCAAGGTTGAATCATAGGATTTGAAAGGGACAATGGATAGGATTGACAGGCAAACCTGGACCAAATGGGGTACCGAGCTATGGTGCAAATGAGAGAGCCACCAAACTACGGGTGCGATCGCTTTCCGGGAAAGCGGAAGACAAAGGCCACAAACATGCAAGCGCAGGCGTGGGAAATTTTTTTTTTAAAAAAAATTTAAAAAATGGCAAAAATACAAAAGAAAAGAAAAAGAAGAAAAAAAAAAGAAACAAAAAAAAGGGGAAGGAAAAACAAATTTCCAAGGATCCAAAGCTGGGCGTTCGATCAGAAAGGGAAGAAAACAAAGGGGAAGGAGGGGAAGTGCCCGAGAAAGCAAGCAAAAGGAGGGAAGGAAAGAAAGGGAGAAAGAAAGAGCAGAAAGGGAAAATGGAGAAAGGGGGATCAAGTGAAAAAGGAAAGAGGAGGAGAGTAGTAGATGTAATGGGATGGCTAAACAATGTTTGGTATGAGTCGAGAAGCAACTTGAGCTGCAGTCACTTCAGATTGAGTAGCCGAGGCAAGTTGGTTAATTGCCCGGTTTTGTTGCTCCAAAAGGTGCGCAACATTGCAAAGGTAAAGGAAAAAAGAGTCGGAGCGTTAGCGCAAGAGAAACTTGATCTGGATGGCGTTGATACCCGCGGTGTGAAGGATCACCGCCGCCCCAGCCCAAAGAGAGTGGGATGTATATTTGTAATGTCGCTGCAGATCGTGATCAGTAAGGTTGTAAGTCTTCTTGGCCAAGGTCCAAAGGGTGGAAGCAATGACTTTGCTGTGAATGAAAAACTATTCACCAATGGACCCTTTGTACACTGCAAGTGGAATATCGGTCTTATCCAGACCGACAATCCGGGCGAATCGGCTGACGATGTTATGGAGACTCCGCAGAGCGTCGCGGGAAGGGTTGCGGGGATTGCTGGAAAGCAGTTTTTCTTCACCGTGATCGTGATTCTTTTGCCAAGAGAACTTGACATTGGAGCGAGCCACGGCATCGAAATTCTGGATAAACTCAGCAATCGAAACAGGACGATTACCCGAATCGAACAAACGAATGTCGTCAAGAGTGAAGGCGTGTTTTGTACCATTTGGGGCAATCTCGCCGCCAGAAGCCAAGCGACGGTAGGGCCCATTCGCAAAGGCAAAACCTAAATAGGTACTCAAGTTAAACCAATCTTCCATAGCACAGTGTAAACCGTCCATATGTGCGTTTGTAGTGGCAGTCAGAGCCACCAAAGTGGTATGCATCTCAATTGTATAGGGGTCAACTCGATGGGGCATATTCTCATGACGCTTGCATTCATTCAGTACAGCTTGGATGGGAAGCGCCAAATCATGGTCGGCCCGATTAGTGTAGCGGGGATCTCGACCACAGAAGTTTTCAAGAAGGGTAGCTGTATCTCGGAGGTAGTTTCCAATGGTCGCTGCCTTGATGGGCTTACCCGTGACAGTGTTGCCCACCGCCAAGTCGACTGCGAAAGCGGCAAGAAGGTGCGTGCGGGCATCATGGGAGACGGACTCCAACAGTAGATCCATCTGTGGCCAATTCAGACGACGCAGAAAGCGGAGGAAATGGATGCGGTGGGAACGAATTGTCCCAAGGACTCTGGTAGATTTGGTGGGACCGGACTCGAGCTGCATAACAGCGCGGATCTGAGAACGGAGATGAGTTCGGCACTGGGCTGGAAATTGCGCAAGGCGTTCATCCAAGGATACTTCTGTGATGTCTGCATAAAAAGGCGTTCATGTGAGAGAGAGCCGGGGCGAGAAATCCAATCAGCGAGGACATTGTCATCGCCAGGGATGTGCACTGTGTGGCAAACCAAAGTAGATCTCTTCAAGAGCTGACCGTAGAGCGCGACCAAGGCTTGAGCCAACGGACTGGTGGTCCGTGTGTCATTGATCCAAGATACCGTCGCAGTGTTGTCCGTACGACAACGAAGGACTGGGAACGCCGGAATACCATGTGGGAACAACTCACGAATGGGAGCGGAGAGCGCAGAAGACTCAATGGTAATGACAAGGGCCACTGCCTGCAGGAAGGAAACAAGGCACTCCAACACATTGATGTGGATGTAGGATGCATCGGAGGGCTTTAACTTAGTACTTGCCACAATTTGTTTACTCCAAACAACACGAAACCAGTAGTCAAGGGACGTAGAATAAGCGCCACCCCCAATGAAACTAGCATCGCCAAAGGACTCGAAATGGTGGTCGCGAGGGATCATCTGGGGAATAAAAATCTTCCATTCCTCAGTTCGTAGGCTGTGGATAATTGCATTGACCTCTCGAATTGCAGCCGGACCCAGCTTGTAGGAGTGCTTGGAACCCCAAAGAACTTTTGCCATTTTCCGGCTCAAGATCCCATCCATGCGGTGGATAAAGGTAGAAGACAGTCGAGAGGCGATCTGAAGCTCCCAGTCCTTCCGTCTGTGGTACCCAATGAGGGTGCGGTACCGATGAACGAGGATCATACGAAGAAGGCGTTGCAAATTGAAGTAGGAACAGCGCATATGGCGGCAGACTGTAGTGGCGTTCGAAAGCAGACCAAGGAGTTCTGCGATTTCTTGAAGGGTTAGACGATGTTTCCGTAGAAAGGTCCTGAGCCGTTGGATGATACGATCTCGTTTCTCAGAATCAACCAACCAAGGCAGTGTCGACGATGGGAAAAAGTAGTGGTGAACTTTTCCCAAGACACGCAATCTCGGATCCCTTTGGAGGCATCTGGGAAGCCAAGGATCAAATAGAGAGCCAGAACACTCGAGGCTATTGTTTGTCTCAGTGTCTTGGCGACATCAACATAAAGACAATCATCCACATGGTGGTCGAAATTGGGTGGGATCCGAGATCCGTCCGAATTGAAGACACCTTTGTTGATGGAGTCGGCTACCGCTGGGGTAAACTGTGCGATCTCGTCAGGCGTTGGTTCAGGTGATGTCGATATTGCCGGAAGGTATCGTAGAACCCTAGCAATTGTAGAAGCCTGTGACCAGAGGAAGCGTGCAAGAGCCATACGGCTTAAGGCTATAATCTCGAAATTTGACGCACAGGTATTGCCACCGAATGTCAGACCAGTGCAGAAGAACAGGAAACCAAAAATGGAAAACGTATGCATTCCAATTACATTAGGGTTCCATTTTCTGTGGCGAAAGGCTCCCAAGACGTTGTCGTCGCCAAGGTAAAGTTCCTCGGATTTGAAGCTGATCCGAGCATTGTAGATGTAAGCGAGGTGGTTCCGAAGCAATTTTGGAAATTCAACCTTATGCTCCGTATCTTTGGTCGTCATATTGTTGGTAGCGATAGACTCAAGCAAAGGACAAAAGGTGCCATCACAGATTTGACGATCGCTCTTTCCTGGGACAACCACGAGGCCTTGTGGGATCTGCTGTGTGTCTGGTAGGAAAGGTGTCAACAGAGGGCGAAATCCTTCTGCACTGCTTTCTGTGTTTTTTCGACATTGGTATAAACCGAGTTGTGATTTCCATATTCAGCGAAGGATCGCCGATTCTTCTCGGACGACGTAGCGTTGACATAATTTGGACAACCGTCAACGAGCACGCGCCGTAAATTTGCAACAAGACCATCATCAACTGATGCCGCACGTAGCTCTGGTTCCACAGCGTTCCAATCCCGATGGGCCCCAGTATGTATGTTCTCAACATAGCGAACGGCGGTAGCTACATCCAAGTTGTAGTGTAACAAACAGGCGGTGAACATCCGGCTCCAACAGTGCATGACTTGGCCCATTGGTGTATCCAAAGGGAGAACGGAACGAAGTGGCCGAAAGTCAACAAACTCGTGGCTCTTGAGTAACAGACGAAGAAGTAAGGCTCCGGAAAAAGCCTTGCCCAAGCGATCGCCGGTCGTTGTGTCCAAGTAGCCGCTCTTGTAGAGAAAAACAAAGGTATGGCAAAATGTACTTTCCGTCTTGAAGCATCGATCGTTACTATCCTTACCGTATGGTGACTCCACAGCGAGGGCAGTTCTACTCAGGAGATTCCGGAGAAATTGGGATTGTTCCGACCGAGTAAAGGTAGGTGTTACCCTTGCGCTCTGTTCCAGAATGTGGCGGAATCGGTCAGCAACAAGCATGTCCGCAGGGTCGAGCTCGTCAAAAATTGTCCGAGTTGGGGGGTAGTCCTGGAGAGCACACTTGTCCTGTGGATCAACGCAATGTGACTTAGGTGTGGGCCGAGACGCATAGTAGTTGACCTGCCGGGTAAGAGTGCTTACTGATGCGGCCGCCACTTGGTGGGGCAACAACAATCAACCATGAGAGAGAAGGAAATAACTAGGAGTAAGTGGAAAGCAAAATTGGGAGAAAGAAGAAAGTTGCTTAAATAAAAAGAGAAACTAACTGGTACGTGGTTCCTGCCCAGGAGCCCATTTGACGTTCGGAGTCGATTGGACCCAGGTCTTGAAGGACTCCTGTTTGCTAACAGGACGAGATTGGAACACTCGTTTATGGAGATGGAGCAAAGTGCAACAAGTATTCGTGCACTGGAAGTTTCGGAAGAGGAAATTGACACAGGCAGTCTTCTCTACACCGTTTACCTTCCACTTTTGATCTGGCATTGGTGGTCGTCCGGTAGAAGTACAGATGAGCATACCCCTGGTGGTGCTTTCCTCGTTGCTAGGCTTTGGCTTCTTTGCAGGTGAAGCGGCTGTATCTTGTTTGGAGGATGGTGACTTGGAGGACCGTTTGCCAGAAGGCGAAGCGTCGGGGGCCGTGTGAGAAGAAATCAAGGCACTAAGGGCGGACGTCCTGGGATAGTTGGGGCGGCGACAATTGCGAAGGCCTTCGTCAATCTTGTCCAGCAGGAGCTGTGTCTGGGCTCTTGCGCCAGAGAATAGTTCCGCACGTTGAATGGTGCCAAGTGGTCGTGCTTCGGCATGGAGAGTGAAGTCCTTGGCCTCAGAGGCGATGACCTGGAAAACGGTTTGGAGGTCATGGAGGATGTGGACGGCGACACCCGTGAGGTCGATAACATGCTGCCACTGGACGGCATCAGGTCGGGACAAAGCAACCATAACCGTGTCAAACTGTTCCACCATAAAGGGAGTGTTGTTGGACATGGAGAAATTTTCGGTTGCAAAGGCAGCAAGTTGCGCTATGTTGGAGATTGTGCTCTTGATGTCGGAAATGGAGGCGCAGCGGCCCTTGGAGTACAATTTTGTCTTCTTGGAGGCTCTCTTGGTTACATGCTCACCCATGTCTTCTTGCATGCAGGCTTCTTCATCTTCGTTCATATGCGAGGCCAAGTCCTTGTCGGTCCTGTCGGAAGGGAGGAACTGAAGGAGACTGAAGCAGGACAATGCATCGGATGGGTTCATTACTAAAGATCTGGTGGTAAAGCTGGCTCCTTGGATCGCCGCCATCCCTGCTGCCTGAATGCGATGGACATCCCAGTCAAAAAGAGCATGGTAAACATTGCGGGTTGGTTGGAGCGCTTTAATGGATTGGTCAAAGGCTTCGTGGAAGAAACGAAGGGCAAGTTGGGGCTTGGCCTTCAAAATGGTCTTCCAGGCGGACGAACAATCAGCCAGTACGTACTCAACACTCCCATCCGGGTGGGTGATGAAATGGCCAAAGAGTATTCGCCAGGACAGTAGTACTCGCTCTTGGGCTTTGGTTGCCGCGTCGTTGGTGGCCGTGGTCTTTGATGCCAAAATTGCCTCCTTGATGATACTGGCGTGGTCAATTGGTTGGGCAGCCCCGGTAGGAACACTTGGTTCGGCGGAAACATCGGTGTGGGCACGGGAGAGCGCATCGACCTTACTGTTGAAGCTCGTGATGTACTTGTAGAAGGACTCAGAGCCGGTCCGGGCGTCGCAAAACTCGTACCCAGATGCTGTGGAGAGAGTATGCTCGGAGATTGCAGCTAGCTGCTCGTTGACAATAAACTGGTCCAGTGGGATAGAAGTCTTGCCAACAAGGGTCTCGTCAACAAAAAGGCTTCTTCCCATCGTATTCTTTATGAGAAAGGCATGAACTTCGACCCATAGACGTTCGTGGGGCGAAAGGGCTAAAAGAACTTCTTTAGGGACGTCTTGGGTAAGGTCCAGGGCCGGTGGCATCTTGCTACCTGGGACAAGATGGCAGAAAACCGAGACAGCACAGAAAGTTGGTGATTCGACTGTGAAGTCGATGTCTTCAGGTAAGTCTGCGTTGTTGGCGTTCTTGGCGTTGCTCGGGTGGTACTGGGTGTCCTTTAGTAGAGGGACGCAGCACGAGACGGCGCGGCCATTGTTACCCACCCCGATCACCCGTTTGGAGAGTTCGTCGGGGTCAATGGTCATGGGGATCGCTTGGGCGAGGTCGTCTCGAAGGGAAGCGAAGATGCCAGCCGACATGCCATTGTCAAGGATAACCTTTTTTGGGATGGTAACGACCGTGAGCTTTCCTTGAGGGTCGAAGAACATAAGACCAAGTGCCGAAGTGACAGCAGTGGCGCGATCAGACATGCTGGACGAGCCATGGAAAACGTTCTTCAGGAGGGCATCGGAGTCCGTATCGGTGGGAAGGGACTTGATGGAGGAGTATGAGAGAGATCGCATGGCGGGTGATGGTGTTGATCAAATAGACGGAGAATCTGAGATCAGAAATTTTATGAGGAGAGGATGCGATTGGGAAAGGTATTGTAGGTGTGTGGATGTTGGTATGGAATGTACTACAGTGCAGGGAATTCCATAGAAATGGCGTGTCAGCAGGTGGAGAGGGAAGTGTGAATGGGAAATAAAAAGGGAAGAAAAGTTTTTGATCTGGGAAGGAAAAGTTTTTGTTTTGGGCAGGAAACGCCCCTTGAAAGGCGATCGGGGGGGGGGGGGGGGGGGT